AAGCTGCATCAAGTGGGGATGAAGAACCAATGCTCTACAGTGTTGGCTGGGATCACCTTGAGATAGAAGCTATGACTTCCTTCAGCTTGAAAGATTACGCAAGAGCTGAAGCACTGACCCCAAAACATGAGATGCTATCTCAACTATGATTAATGCAGCTCAATTAATACAGCTTACTCTCTGTATATCCTTCTCTCTGCATATTGCAGATAAATGCAGGTCTCCTTTCTAGCCCAGCTCACAGTACTCACCTCTTTCTGCTATTCTCAGTCACTCTTCCTCAAGCCACTCCTCCTTCATGAACGAAAACAACCCAGGTTCGGCCCTGGGTCAAGGCCTTTGTTCGAGATAGCCATCATCATGGCTGGACTTAGGCCCCCCTGCTCCCCATAACTATAAATATGCCTCAATGACTTTATTCTCATGGGTTGTACTGGATGTGGTAGCCTGGAATTAACTTGCTGGGATTCCAATAATTTATCCATGGGATTACAAAATGAGGAGGACCAGGAAGGGCTCTCTATAACATACATAAATCTTGCCAGAACTTCACTCATTCTTACCTCCTTCAGTCTCAGGTGTAACGACAATGTAAAAGAACCATATTTCACAGCTATTCTTCTGATCTTAAGTATTGCTCACAGCACAAAACCTCTGGCTATTATTCTATCTGTGCACAGTACTGGGGAACAAACAAACCCATTGCTTCTGCATCATAGGCAAATGCTTTACCACTGAGCTGCACACTCAGTCTTGGCCACCACTCTTGATAGAGAGACTCACATTTTTTAACCTCCAGGTCTATTTCTTTCTACATTTAGATGAGCTTACAGTGTTAACAGGTAAAAACAAATCAAAGAATTGTACACAGTTAATTTCTCAATAAAGATTATTAATCAAGATAGGTACTATAATCAGTGGTTGCTGGACAACGAGTTGAGAATGACTACCAACAATCATAAGGCTTCTTTGGGGGTAATGGAAACAGTCTGGGTGTGGTGTTGTGGTGGATGCCTGTAATCCTAGCACTTAGGAGGCTGAGGCAGGGTGGGAGGATCTTGTGTTCAAGGCCAGTCTGTACTACATAGTAACACCCTGCCCCCCCACAAAAAAGTCTTTAAAAAATTCTGGAATTAGTGGCAATGGATTGCACAACCTTGAAAATACATAAAAATGCACCGAACTGTACTTGATAAATTCAGTCTGGCTGTGGTGGCACACACAAAGAACACACAGGCTAACACTGGATATAAGGTTAGGAAGGAAATTTAAGGAATGAAAGGTATAGTCCAGATGCTTAAGATCTATTCCAACTTTATGATTCAGTGTATTTAAAAATTTCAACGTATTTATGGTAAATAAGCAATTTAGTATTTCTAAATAAATAAATGAAAAGGGGTAGAAATATTGTAGTTCAGCATTCCTTGGGTTCAATCACCAGTTTGAAGCTGTTTAATTCTTTAGGTAGACTAATTTAGCTGTTATATGCTTTTTATATAGGTTTGATTGACAGTTTCTGTTGTTTCAGACTGGGATTGAACTCAAAGAGAAAATATTACTATGCCCACAGAAAACATTTAGATATTTACATAACATACTTGCCTATGTATGTACATATAAATTATCTTAGGTATGATATATTAAAATTTTACTTTCTTTTTTCTTTTGGCGGAACCGGGGATTGAACTCAGGCCCTTGCGCTTGCCAGGCAAGCGCTTATTCTACTGAGCCATCTCCCTGATCCCTAGAATTTATTTTTTTTTTTAATTTTTATTTATTTATGTGGGGGGGCAGCTCAGCCCACCAGGGGGCGGGGCTGGCTGGCATATGGTGCTGGGGGATTGAACCGCGGTCCCTGTGCTTTGCTAAGCTTGTTCTAAGTAGGTGCTTTAGACCACTGAGCCATCTCACCAGCCCTGCCCCTAGAATTTAAATAACCTTGAAGCTAAGGAACTGCCAATCCACTGAGCATGGTGGTGCACCTCTGTAATCCCAGCACTTTGGAGGCTGAGGCAAGAGGATCACTGTGAGATTGAGACCAGCCTGAACTACATAGTGACACCCTGGCTCAAAGATAGAAAGAGCAAGCCAACCTAACCTAATATGAACATGCATATCACAGCTAAATTAGTCTAACCAAAGAATCAAACTGCTTCCAGGTAATTGGTAACATCTTCAAGAACCAGAGTAATAACTAGTGTGTTAATGCCCAAAGGGGAAACCTTATGTTCTGAAGCAAGAGTAATGACTAGCACATTAATCCCTAATAATGAAAACTATGGGCTTTGACATATCACTCAGAACCAGATGAAGGGTTCCAGAATGAGCATAGAAGGCTATCAGACCAGTGCTTCTCACTGTCCGCACCAAGTGGATATGGGTAAAACGATGCATCTCACTCTGAAGCCCAGAGCACTGTGCTGGAACTGAGTCGGGGAGCAGAAGCTACAATCAGGCATCTGTAGGCTTTCCTTTCTGACCTTGAGCAGCTTCTAGAGCCAGCCACGTGCAAAGAGGAACCCAGAGTAGAAGAGCCCATCATAATCCCATTTGGAGGCAGAACATGGGATTCTGGAACCACTGGGACTAGGGTCCAGGCCTTGGGGCTCCTCAAGGTGTACACACTTCCTTCGCACTTTCGGAAACTAGACACAGGCACTGTGCTTCTTCGATAGATAAAAGGGAGGCGGAGAACAAAACAGGGCCATGAAACAGGAAAGTAGAAGAACGGATCAATTCTGGTCAAAGGGATTCCTGAGAGGAACATCTACGCTAAAATCTGAGGGCTCCAAGCATCAGAGGCGGCAAGCGCAAAACGCCGGGTACCCTGGACAGAGTCAGGCGAAGGAATCACAGAGAACGCGGACGCCTGGCTTTGGGGTTCCGGGAAAGAACTGCAGCGCACAGAGGACTTCAAGCCAAAGAGGGACACGCACAGATGGCTGGGAGAAGCCCGGTGCCTCGTCTCAGCCTCGGGGAACGGCAGACGCGCACAAGAAAGCAGCTCTGCTCCTGCAGCTCGCGCGAGGCCTCCACAGGCGCCGCTCCCGCCCTGCCCGGGTTTGCCGAGAGGAAGAAGCGGGCGGACCCCGCGACGCACTCAGGGGAAGGCCGACCTCAAACATGACACGAAGGCACAAAACCAGGAGACTGGGTTTTTATGAGTGGCAGCAAGGAAACGTCCTACGGGAAGGTGCCCGGAGGGGGAAGAATCAGCCCAACGCGGTGACAGTCGCCGCGCCCGGCGACACGTGCCTCGGGAAGCGGTCCGACCCCAGAGCCCGGGTGCCGAAGCCCGGGCGGACCCCCGAGCCTCGGCGCCGGCCGCGTCCCCGCAGGGCGCGCATCCCCGCGTCCGCCCCGCGCCAGCCCCGGGAGAGCTCCACTCGCGCCCAAGTCGGCTCCGCCCGCAGCGGCGCTCACGGCCCCCGCAGCCCCAGCTGGGGACCTGAAGGCACTGCTTCCCATCTGCTCCTCCTACAACACCTCAACTCCCGCTCCCGAACCGCCGCCGCCGCCGCCTTCTTCTCAGCCCCCCGGCCGCTCCGCGACTCAACTCACGGGTTATTATTACTCATTGTAAGTAACAAGCTGCTGAGAAGCCGCACGTTGGAGTGCAGCCCCGCGGCTGCCATGTCCCGCACATGGTCTATCACATTCATCCTGCTGGAAACGACCGCGCGCAGCGACGGCTGCAGCGGCGCCAAAAGCCGGTAGATCCTTCAGGCAAGATTCAAAATGGCGGTGCCGCCGGGGTCCATCAGGTCCACCCGTGGCCCCGCCCCCAAGAAAATAGGTAACTACGCAAATGCCTGATCTTAAAAAGTTACCTGTGTTCCCCATGGGGCCGTGAAGAGGGGTGATTTGTTTTTACCCAGAAATTGCGTCATTGTTCTGAACTGAAAATTTTATTTAGGATTTACAAAGGGACAAAAAACCACTTCAAGAGGAATCCATGCCCTAGTCGGTCACAGAAATTAATAATAATGTGTGGGCATTCATAATAAGTAAAGGGAAATAGCGTAAGGGTTGGGGACTTTGGACGGCCAAATTAAACATTTCAATCAGGCGCTGAGGGCAGACCTAACAGCTTTTATCCCGCGCAGCAAATTAGGCCGAAGGCGTCACGCCCTCAGGTATTTTGTGTTTCTGTCAGATTTCTGGCATCGCATCTTGAATCTTTGGTACAACAGACATATTTGACTCTATGAAATGACACCCTAGACCAATGTGAATAAAGGATAAACTTTAAAATGAGGTGGTGCTTTATGAACCAGCATTTCTCCCGCAGTTAATACTTCAAAAAAGTTAACATGAGTTATTGCATCGGAAGCTCTCAAACCAACCTATAGAGTTGAAACTGTCATTCCCTCATCAGAGAGGAAGAATCTAAAGCTATTTGCTTATATTTGGGGCTGAAGTTGTAAATACTCGATTTGGAAAGAAACGTTCTGACTTCAAATTCCTTGGACGTCCGCCTGTAATCCCCGCGTGCAGGAGGCTGAGGCAGGAGGATCATCATGAATAGTGAGTTCAAGACTAGCCAGAACTACACAGCGAGACGCTGCCTCAAAACAAAACAAAACTACTGATTCGAAAACTGAAATGTGGGGACGAGGCAGTGTGAAGGCACAGTGGCACCGCAGTTGAGGCGCAGGAAAGGACCAGCGACCTCAGCACCTCTAACCACAGCTAGAGAGCGAACTCTTTTTGGTGAGAATTACGAAGATGACGCCCCAGTAAATTCTGATGAGGTTATGAAGAAACCATGTCCAGTACAGACTGTTCCTGCTCGTGACGATGATCATAAATTTGAGTTTGATAAAGAAGCATTAGAGCAGATTTTGCTACAAGAGCGTGCATGAGATCTTATCATGATTGTGTCCGTAGGCAGAAGCTTTTTGTAAAGGGAAATCACTTCTACTGGACTTCATGATTAGGTATATGTATAATAAGGTGTATAATTTGCCTAAGAATATTCAGAACAACAATCTTCAACATTTGCAATTATTTACAGAATACTGAAGACTTGTTTCTCAGCCCTGAGGAGGCTGAGGCAGAAAGATTGCTGAGATAGCTCAGTGACTTAAGGGCCTGCCTGGAAAGTGCAAGATCCCAAGTTTGATCCCAGTACAACAAAACAAAACAAAAAAGGCCAGCCTACATTGCATAGTTAAATCCTGCCTCAAAAGGACAAAAAAATGTAAACAGAAGACTTGGCATGGAAGAAATCTATCAGAAGCTATTTCTTTTTTTAGGGAAGCATCTATAGGGTGTTCAGGCTCACGCTTCCACATCCGACTCGGATTGATTTTCCTGTTTACAGCCTCCCAAGAGCTGGGATTACAGGCGCGCGCTACCACACCCAATCTCAATTACATCAGCGCCCTCCCGCGGGCAGGTCCGGCATGGCAGGCCTGGGAAATCAAACCCCTGCCCACTGCGCCTGCTTGCAGGTGCTTTAATCCGCTGAGCTATTTGGCACGGAAGCGCTTATTCCACTGAGCCATCTCCCCGGCCCTTCGCTGAGCTATTTGGCCAGCCCCAGAAGCTAGTACTTTTGATTAGAAACTGGAGTCATCCTTTTGTTCATCCGTATGGTTTGGAAGATGCAAAACAATTTATTTGTGATAGGTTTTTCAGCAGTGCATTAAAGAGATAGGAAAGATAAAAGAAGCCTTTATCAACTCCAAAAACACCGGAGGAGGGCAGATGAGACAGATCCTCCGACCTGAGACAAAGAGAGCTGAGACTTTCATGGACTTTTCTAGGAGTGGAGTTAGAGGGTCAGTTTCAATTACATGTAAGAAGCTGACTGGGGTCTCTCCTGTGTGCGCAGGAAAGGTGAGAGGAAATTGTATCCAGGGCTGGGTTGCAGGAGCAGGAGGAAGTGGCCATTGGGAAGATAAACTATTGTTTTAAGGGCTTCAGCCATGTTAGATGACCACCATAATAATTTAGCAATTCATGCTAGGGCCAGAACCTATCACTTTCTTTTCTTTCTTTCTTTTATTTATTTTTTTATTTTTAAGACAGGGTCTCGCTAAGCAGATCAGGCTGGCCTTGAGTTCACTTTGTAGCCCAGGCTGGCCTCCAACTCACAGCAGATCTTCCTGCCTCAGCTTCCCTAGTGGTGGGATTGTAGGTGTGCACCACCATGCCCAGCCTGGAAAACACCACTTGAAAATAGATTGCAGGAAACAATTTTAAAAAAGAGATTAGGGGCTGGGGAGATAGCTCAGTGGTCTAAGCGTCAGCCTGGTACTGCATGCCACACCAGCCCTGGAACCCCAGGCACGCAGTGCCAGCCACCCAAATCAGATGTGGTGGCTCACACCAGTCATCACAGCACTGGGGAGGCTGAGACAGGAGGATCACTATGAGTCCAAGCTGCATAGCAAGATGCTGTACCAAAAAAATAAAAATTTTTTAAAAAGAGATTGCAGGTAAAACAAAATAAAAATGAAGAGCTACCAAATATATTGATGAACAATTTAAAGGAGAGCTTTGAAATCTAGTTTCACTGGTGCTTGGCCCAGTAAATTTGGTAGAAAAACAAGTAGATGTCAAGTCGCTAGTAGAGATCTTGTAGAATATTTTAAGGCTTACGTTACAATTTATCGAGGAGACACACTTGTATACTGACAGCCTGTGTTCAGGCAACAGCAGAAGCTAGTCATGGTGCTGCAGGAGCTGCCGCTGAAGAGGCCTACTGCAGAAGTGTGGGAGCGGTACTGGGCTGAGGAAGGGGTCACCCTGACACTGTGCCTTCAGACCCAGAGCGAGAACGCCTAGGTCTCGAGGAAGTGGCGATTAGACGGTTTTGTTCTGTGAAAAAATAATAATAATAATAATGGGTGGAGATGAGTTCTGCCTCAGTCATCTGGCCCAGCATGAGGTGGACATGGAAGAGACCTAAGCAAAATTTATACAGCTCCCTGATGGCGAAAGTGTCTTGTATGCTGCTCACACACTGCTGCTCGGTGCGGTGACGTCTGCAGTGTTGGCAAGCTCAGCACTGACGGGCTTCCTCGCCTACGCTCTGTAGCTGTCTGGGGCCACCTTCTCACGGAGGTAGCCTGCATGTCCCTTTGTACTTGGGCCCCTGGCATATCGCATATGCTAAATACCTTTGGGAGCTGAGAGGAACTGGAGCAATGGTGATCAGACCGCTGAAACATGATAGAGGAAAACGGGCCGTCTAACCAGCTCTGGGGCGGCAGGCCTGGCTGACCAGGTGTCTCAGCAAGCCGGACGCAAGGCACACCGGCAGCGGATCTGCTTGCACGCTGCACGCACACTATTTCATGCCTACTGTAAAATGAGAATGCAAAGAAAAAAAAAAACCAAATTGGCCTGCATATCCGGCCTGGTAGGTAACAGGGCCAGGTAGGTAACTGAGTTAGGTTGCTTTGGGGTTTCAGTGAAAACAGTATCTTCCTTTGTCCTCCCATATGGCCTATCACTCGTTTCTTAAAGATTTACATCTTGGTTTATATTTTGTTTCACTTGATTTTAAAGAGACATTTGCAAAGAAATACACATATATTTGCTCTGAAAAATTCATGTCGTGAGCACCTCGTTAACTGGTGACTGATAACCATTCTAGCACTCGGTCCCATTCAAAGAGAATTGGGACGGGGCAAAGCAGAGAGTGCCCTGTCTAACCAGGCGGCTGCAGCTCAGTCTGTTGGTCTCAGGACAGAACTTTTTTTTTTTTTTAATTTTTTTTGAAACAAAGTCTTGCTATGTAGTCCAGGCTGGCCTTGAACTCACAGCAATCCTCCTACTAAGCCTCCTATACTGTGGGATTACAGGTATGCACCACCATGCCCAGCTATTACTATTGAGTTCTAATGATATATATTTAAACTTCAGATTAGGCTAATGTTGTAACTTATCTTTTACCCAAAGTGTTGTATACTTCAGGGCAGTTAGTTGGAGAATGCAGTTACACAATATCCTCACACTCCTCCCCCAACTCACTCAGCTATAGTTTTTTGCTTTAACTTTTTTTTTTGGTATCAGAAATTAAAATCAGAACCTTGCACTTGCTTGCTTCAGTTTTTTTGTTTGTTTGGTTGGTTGGAGTTGTTTTTTTTTGTGTGTGTGTGTTTTTTAAAAATGTATTTGGTACAGGGTCTCACTGTGTAGCTCAGAGTCATAGTGATTCTCCTGTTTTCAGCTTCCCAGCCCTGGAATTACAGGTGTGCACCACCACGCTGGGTCTGAACGGCCAGCTCAGTGCGCCTGGGGGAGGGCTGGTGTGGAATGTAGTGCCTGGACTCGAACCCCAGTCCCTGAGCTTGCCTAAGCAGCCGCTTGGTCCACTGAGCTATCTCACTGGCTCTGCTACAGTTTTTTATACCCAGTGTTGCTCTACCACTGACCTACAGTGACAGCTTTCTTTTTCTTGGTTTTGTTTTGTTTTTTAATTTTGAGACAGGCTCTCTATAAATTACCAGGCTGGCCTCAAACTTGTGATCCTCCCGTCTCAGCCTCTTGAGAGGCTGGGATTTCAAGAATGTGCCACCCCTACATGTCTTTAATCAGTTCAGCTCGGGTGCTTCTCAGTGTTTCTGTCTTTGGCCCTGTGGCATTGTATACTTTTGCTTTTAAATAGCCTATTCAACATAACCAAAGCTTGAGTCATTTTAATTCTGTCAGTTTGTGTGCCAGTTAGAAACTTTGTGTTTAAAATGTCTTAAGATTTATTATGAAATGGGAAATTTATAAATCTGCCAAATTCGGCCTTTATGTGTAAGACTTTTTGTAACTATCTGCTGTTTCAAAGTTAAAACTGGTGCATGCCTATAATCCCAGCACTCAGGAGGCTGAGGCAGGAGGATCGCTTTGGGTTCAAGGCCAGCCTGGGCTACATAGTGAGTTTACAACTAACCTGAACTACATAGAGAGATTCTGTCTCAAAAAAACAAAAGGAAACAAAAACAAAAACGAAAACACACACACACAAAGGACTTTGTTGTTATTGGGTTTTTTGTTTGTTTGTTTGTTGTATTTTAGAGAAGGGTCTACAGGGTGTTCAGGGTCTCACTACTAGATCAGACTCATAGGGATCTGCCTGTTTGCAGCTTCCCAAGAGCTGGGATTAGAGGTGCACGCCACCACGCCCTGTCTCAATTGCCCTCTCAGTGCACCCTGGGGGCGGGGCCAGCAGGCACGCCCAGGGATGAAACCCTAGCCCCTGTGCCTGCTTGCAGTCACTTTAATCCACTGAGCTATTTGGCTGGCCCTTGTTTGTTTTTGACGCAGGATCTTGCTATGTAGTACATCATAGCTTTGAGTTCACTATGTAGCCCCGGTTGGTCTTCAATTTGAGGCAACCCGCTTCCCTCAGCTTTCTCAGTGCCGGCATTACAAGCATGCACCACCACACCCAAATCTTTCTTTCTTTCTTTTTTGTCAGAACCAGGGACTGAACTGAGGCCCTTACACTTGCCAGGCAAGTGCTTGTTCTACTGAGCCATCTCCCTGGCCCCTTGTTTCTTTTTAAACAAAAAGATTATTACCCAATTTTTTTTTTTTTTTTTTGCGGAACCGGGGATTGAACTCAGATCCTTGCGATTGCCGTCAAGTGCTTATTCTACTGAGCCATTTCTCAGGCCCCCAATTTTTATTTTATTTATTTATTTATTTGTTTTTAAATTTTATTTATTTATTTGTGTGTGTGTGGCCAGCTCAGCCCACCAGGGGGCAGGGCTGGCTGGCATGTGGTGCTGGGGATTGAACCGCGGTCCCTGTGATTTGCTAAGCTTGTTCTAAGTAGGTGCTTTAGACCACTGAGCCATCTCACCAGCCCCCCCAATTTTTAAAATGTGGAATGCTGTGCAATTTTGTGTGTCACCCTTGCAAAGGGGCCAGGTAATCTTCTCTGCATTATTCCATTTTTTATTATATGTGGTCACAAATTGAGCCATATTAGTCATTTAATTTTGTAATTATTTCTAGAACTAACTTTTTTTTTTTCTTTTTTGAGACAGGGTGTCTATGCAGCTCAGGCTGGCCTTGAGCTCACTTTGTAGCCCAGGCAGGTCTTGATATTGCAACAGCCCTCCTGCCTCAGCCTCCTGAGTGCTGGGATCACAGGCATGTACCACCATGCCCAGCTTCTGAAATTAACTTTGTAGAAGAAAGAGGTATATGGGGCTGGAGAGATGGCTCAGTGGTCTAAAGCACCTACTTGAAACAAGCTTGGCAAAGCACAGGGACCGCGGTTCCAATCCCCCAGCACCACATACCAGCCAGCCCCGCCCCCTGGTGGGCTGAGCTGGCCACACACACACACACACACACAAATAAATAAATGTTAAAAAAAAAAAAAGAAAAGAAAAGAAAAGAAGCCAGATGGGGAAGACACGGCTTCTGGCTCCATCTGTGGGAAGTGCGCAGAGGCAGGCAGGCAGCTCTGGGCTCCCCCAGCAAGCACTGGGGACAGGGACAAAGGAGGCCCAGCCCGTAAGGGGGGAAGAGAAGCAGGGAAGGGGGAAGAGCATGGTTTCGAGTAAGCAGCACTGTCATCTTTTGGGAAACAGCCAAGTACACAGAGACGGCACAGGATTGAGCAAGACAGTAAAAAAAGAAGAAAGAACAAGACCAAAAAATAAAAGAAAATATAAAGAAGGAAAAAGAGGAGGAGAAGGCGAAAGGCACAATGCTGTGTTAAGCAGAGGAGTTTGGTTTCAAAACCAGAAACTAAACTGGGCCTGGTGATGCGCACACACCTCTAATCCCCAAACGCTGCAAAGCTGAGGCAAGGGAAAGGCAAATTCAAACCCAGTCTGGGCAATGCAGCAACTTCTTCAGACCTTGTCTCAAAATAAAAGACCACATAAGTAAGGGCTGGGGATGTAGGCAGTATGAAGGATCTAGGTTCAATCCCTGTGGAAGGCAGGCAGGCAGGCAGGCAGGCAGGCAGGGGCTGAAAAAGTAGAAACAGGAAGCAGCCCGTTTGCCATTCCAAGTTCCCTTACTACACCGACGCGGGAGAACTGGGCCCCATCTGCTTGGTGGTTCTGAGGCTCCTGAGTTTTGGGAAACTGGCCCCTTTCAAACTTCAGTTTGAAGCTGGGTGTGGCCGTGCATGCCTGTAATCGGAACACTCAGAAGGCTGAGGCAGGGGGATTTCCATGGGGTCAAGGCCAGCCTGAACTGCATATTAAAACCATACCTCAAAAAACCAAAACATAAACCTTAGTTGGATTCCTCAGCAGGAACACCACCGTTTAGGCTGAGACCCTTGGGGCCGGCGAAGAGCCTTCAGGCCAAGCAATGACCCACCACAGATGATCCATCTGCGTGCAGACTGAGGTGGGTGGGAGGGCACCAGGGATGCTGCTAAGTACTGCACACAGCGCCCTCCCCTGGTGGGGCAGCAGCTCCAACTTATAAATGTAGACATCCAATGCAAAATGTACCAAGGGCTGGCCAAAGCAGTGTCTGCAAGCAGGCACAGAGGCTGGGGGTTCGATCCCCAGGCCTGCCATGTTGGCCCTGCCCCCAGGGGGCACTGAGACAGCAATTGAGACTGGAGGTGGTGGCCCTCACTTGTAATCCCAGCTCTTGGGAGGCTGTAAACAGGCGGATCACTATGAGTCTGATCTAGTAGTGAGACCCTGAACACCCTGCAGACCCTTTAAGAAAAAAAAAGTGTACAAGCCGAGTGTGGTAGGCCAGATGCACCTGTAAGTCCAGCACTGGGAGGCTGAGGCAGGAGGATCCCAAGGTTGAGGCAAGCCTGGAAAGTTTAGGGATTTAATGAAATCTTGTCTCAAAAATAAAAATAAAATTAGAATGGACTGGGCTGGGGATGTAGCTCAGTGCAAAGGCACTTGGTTCAAACTAGTATTGGGAGAAAAACCAAAATCAGTGAAATATCCAAGGGGACAAGTTCTCCTCTTCCCCATGGAATCATGGGGAATCATGGAGCTGAAGGGGATTCTAGAGATCATTCTGTTCTCATTCGTCTTTTTATGTGAAGACACGGAGGCCTGGGGTGATACTTGGCCTGGCACTTTTAGGGGAGGTGGCATCGGACACGGCAGAGGAGGGACTTGCAAACCTCAACGTTTCATTCGCTGCAGTTCACCTCTAACCGTCCAGCAGCTTCCTAAGAATGAAGCTCTTTGCCTGATGCATGACACATTTTTCTCAGATCTGTCTTTTGTACAAGAGGAAAAAGCACACTTGTGAATCACTTTAAGGAAAACGGTCCTTACCACCCCTAAGGGTCCCCTGGCTTCCTTTCAGTAGCAAAGCAAGCTCAAGATGAAGAATGGGCCTCCCCTCTCCCCCAGAGGGAGGGAATCCCGCCATCTTTCCAGCTGCTTGCCCACCCTCAGTGAAGGGTGTGGCAGGACAACATGTCTAGGGTTTGGTGACGTCCAGACTGGCCTCGTGTGTGTGAGGCAGACAGCGAGGCAGCACTCAGAAATGCACACGTGGGGGTCCTGCCCTGGCAAACTCACTGTGCCTGGCAGAAAACTCAGCCCCCTCCTTCCCTGAGGGTGCCAAGACCAACTATTTCTAGAAGTTTCTTAGGACAATCCTAGTTTAGGGATTACAGAATTAACCTCTCCTTGCATTATTAACCACAGCACACTCTTTATCCTCAAGGGTTTGGTTGGAGTGGGCAAGGTGCTATCTGTCTATACTTCCATTGACCCAGGAGGCTGAGGCAGGAGGATCATAAGTTCAAGGCCAGCATGAACAATTTAGCCAGATCCTGTCTCAACATACAACTTTTTGGAGGTCTTTTTATGAGATAGGGTTTCACTGTGCAGTACAGGCTGGATGTGAACTCACTTTGTAGCCCAGACTGGCCTCACACTGGCAGCAGTCCTCCTGCCTGAGCCTTCCGAGTGCTGGGATTCCAGGCACGTGCCACCCTAGCCACGTGTAATCCCAAGTTCTTCGAGGCTGAGGCATGTAGAGGGAAAGTTTGGAACCAGTTTGGACAACTTAGTGACTTACTGAGACCATGTCTCAAATTGAAAAAAAAAAAAAATTAAAAAGTAAAATTCAAGAAGCATTCCATAATTTCTTAAAATTTTAAACTTATTTTATTTTTTGATACAGGGCTGGCATGGCATGCAGTACTGGGGATCAAACTCGAGACCTTGTGCTTTTGCCAGGCAGGCATTTATGCCTCGGAGCTATCTCCCCAGCCTGGCATTCAATACTATTGAAATAGATTAGATGCAGAAAGTTAAATGTTACATGGTTTTTCTTATATGAGAATAATTTAGAAGAGCACAATTTAAAATCAGCCGAGTGTGATGGCACAGGCCTAGAATCCCAGCACTCGGGAGGCTGAGGCGGGAGGATCATTGTGAGTTCAAGACCAGCTTGCGCTACAGAGTGAGCTCAAGGCCAGCCTGAACTGCATAGCGAGACCCTGTCACAAAAGGGCAAAATAAATATATAAATAAATAAAGACAGATGATAGGAAATGAGGGGCTGGACTTCATGGAATGGGAAAAAGGGAGGGGGAGAGGAAGGAAAAGCTGAAGGGAGAAAGGCCAAGATGTGAGGCAGACCAATTCCTCACCCCAGCTCTACTCACTACCTTGGGTAGATTTTTTTTTTTCTTTTTGAGAGCATGTTTCATGTTCTAGCTGGCCTTGAACTCCTTATGGAGCCCAGTCTGGCCCAGACTGCAGGTGATCCTCTTGCCTCAGCCTCCCGGTCACTGGGGTTACATCATGTGCCACCACATCGGGCAGAATCATGTAAACAGTGATATGAAACAGCTAGCAAGCAGTGAGGGACAAGTCTCAAGGGAAGTTCTTTTTTCCTTTCCTTAACCGGAACCGGGGAATTGAACTCAGACCCTTGCATTTGCCAGTCAAGCATTAATTCTACCGAGGTTCGAACTCCAGCAACCTGAGGCTGACAGCTTTGCGGAAGCAGCCACTTAAAGGACTGAGCTAGAGCCAGGCCGCCCCTGATGTAATGGTAGCAGGTGATTTTTACTTTTTTTGTATTTTAGCACAGTGTCTCCAGGGTCTCACTGTGTAGGTCAGGGTCTCACTGTGTAGGTCGTAGTGATCCTCCTAAGTGCTGGAATTACAGGCAGGCGCCACCACGTCCAGCCTCAATCGCGCCCTGGGATCGAACTCCAGGCCCCTGCGTCCGCCTAAGCAGGCGCTCTAACCCGCTGAGCTATTTGGCCAGCCAGTCAGGTGATTTGTCAAAAGCACTATGAAAGCAGGACCCAGAAGAAATACCTGTGTAAGTGCGTTCTCTACAGTGCTGTTCACATTAGCCCGAGGTGGCCGCGACCCACGCATCTATCAACAGAAGCCCAGAGAAACAGAAGGCGCCCTAGCTACACAACGGAACGGCCTTCAGCAGGACCGATGAATGACGTTTCCTGCAGGTTCCAACACGGGGGAACTGCGGAGACATCCTGTTCAGCGAAAGGAGCCAGACAGGAAAGGACGAACATCGTATGATTGCACGTCTGTGAATGTCTAGAATGAACAAATCAATGGAAACAGAAAACAGATTAAAGTGTACAGGGACTAGCCAGGTGTGGGGGGGTGTATGTCTGTAACCCAGTGCTTGGAGGCTGAGGCGGGGGTGGAGGCCGACCTGGGCTCCATAGCGAATTCCAGGCCAGCCTGGGCTCCATAGTGAGACCCTGGCTCAGAAAACACAAGAAAACATGGGAAAGTCTACTGGAACTATGTGCAGGGAAACTAGCTATTGTTTTATGAGCGTAAGTTTCTTTTTGAGGTGGTGATAAAATTTTGAAAATAGTGGTAATGGTTGTGCAACATTAGGAAAGTAACTAATGCCAGTAGATCATACTTAAAATGACAAATTTTATGTCATATACATAAAAATTAAAAATGTAACATGTTCAGAAACACTGAACCTTTTTTTCTGGCAGTGTCAAGGACAGAACCCAGGG